TACGTATCTGATATGATATGAGTGCGCACTTTGATATCGCTATCTTTATAAAGCCATTTCTAGAATGGTGTGACTATTTTTGGTTTACAAAGCCAAATATAAATAATGTATACTAATTTTTTTATATGCCATAATATAAAAAAAGTGAGCCACCCCTTTTTTGATATCGAAATTACAAATTCCCTGACAGTTAAAGCAATATTTGATATCATAAAGATAGGCGGAAGGGAACCTCCTCACAAGAAGTCAAATGACACAAATACCATTGACGATTGAAATTTGCTTGAGCATAAACCGCCTGATCATAGCATCCAATCCATCGAAGCTAAAACTGCGCATATACACCGATGCATAATACAAATGTATTAGGCAAATCAATTTTGAACTATCAGAATTTTGAACAGTCAAAGCTTTAAATCATAATTATCCTGAAAGTGTTAGGATCATGTAATTTCAGGGATTTAAATGTTTTGAGCTTTCATTTGTCGTTCGTAAAGTATGATAATAATAGGCCCCCTAAAAATCGATAAACTTGCAAAATTTCGATTGTTAATTATCAACAAGAGTATTCAAACATAAAATATAAGTGCTCATGTAAATAAAATAAAAATTACTTGTAAATGAGAGTTAAACAAATAGCCGAAATTCCTATTTTCTAAATTTATAATAATATGATTAATATCCTCAATGTACCCGAATTACCTCTTGAAACACAATTTCGAATTCATATTAAACTTATCAGAATTCAATCCAAATTTAAACTTATTTCAACAGTTCCTGCGTGTGTACGTATGTATACATACATAATCCAACAATCGTAACTGCATATAGAAGAAAAAAATTGATTTTAAATGAGTTACTTGATTTACGCATTGTACAATCAAATTAAAGCAGGAATATGTTCTAAGGAGAAGCTCAATTACGGCGTTGACTCAGTTATAAAAGGAAGTTAACTAATACAAATCAAAGCATTGATCTTGACTTTGGCAATGTTGTTGTCAGCCTTACCAACCTTGGGACTTAATGCAACATGAAGAGTTTGGACTTAATTTTAAAATGCACACGTACGTACAAAGTTAACCTTTGAGGTACTCAAACAAATATATTAATAAAATGGTGGGGGGACAATATTCCATCTTTGGCTAATCGGAAGTTACACATAACTCGGAATTTTTGTGATCTACCAATACGGAGATCCAATTTTTGGTTTACAACTTGTGAGGTACATAATGTGTACCTTCCAGGTTTTCATTCTTTTGCATACCCTTCGGTTCTAACAGCTAAAATTAAATAAAATTAAATAGACATTTCTCACAATTTTCGTAAAATACTTTTTCTGTGATAAAAAAATTCGCTGTCGTATGCGATTTCATTGCTGTATAGTATTTATTTGAAAAAGCATTTCAATATGTATAATTGTTCCATGATACCTGACCAGGGCAGCAATCTTCAAGGGTGGGTGTTAGCAATTGCTGCCGGTTTTGCTTGTTGTATAGGAGGTATGTTGAAATATATTAAATTTAATCTGAATTGTCAAATGTTATTTTTACAATTTCTTTGTTGATATATATTTACATAATCCCTGCTTCAGCCTCCGCAGTCTTTTCAGAACACTTTATTCCAAAGTTAAAGGGTGTTAAACAAAAGCAAAATTTAAATTTTATGGTTGCATCATTTGCACTCGGATCAGGAGTATTGGTACTGTATCATTTAAAAAACTTAATCATACTTCTAGAAAATTTTCTCATTTAAATAAATTTTTTCAGCTGTTTTCAAGCTTTTTTACCTTGTTACCTGAGTCAAAGAAAAACTTTAAGGCTGGTGAAAGTGAAACCTCCAGTGGACACTCTAGTTTCTACATGATCGCCTTTTACTTCTTGGGCGTTGTTGGATCTACTTTGATCAATCGTCTGATTCATCATTTCGCGGCGGACTTTCACCATCATCACCACCACAATGATACTCCAATACGCAAAATTTCAAAAAAGAATAGTTTAATTCTTAATGAAAATTCGCCTTTGTTAAAAAATCACTTGGATGAACGCACTGATGATATATCTAAAATTCGTGATTTCAATGAGGCTGACAGCTCAGACAGGCACGCCATTTTTGTGGATAGTGACACTGATGAATGTTCCAATTCTTCTGACCATCACGACCTTCAAAATCCGCATTCAAAGCCCGATCATGAAAATGCAAAGTTAATGCAAATAGGCATTCAAACTGCTATAGCTATCTCTATTCATAAATTTCCAGGTAT